CGGGGCAGAGGGGTGCAGCAAGTAGGCATGTTGGCCACCACTCCCAGCAGCCAACCATGCACTGCTTGCACAGAGCATGGGGCTCAAACCCTAGGCACGCTTGGAAGAAACTCAGACTCTGAGCTTCTGAAGATGCTGGAATTTGGCAGATTATCTGCTCAAGGAGGATTCATTGCATATTCCTATTATTGTACCTTCTCTCATTGTGATGTAGCTGCCTCCTCCTTTTGCATCTCCCTCTGCCCTGTACAATTGTGATGGCCGCGCCTGACTCATCCACTCTGCCCCCTTTCTTGAGAGACATTTACAATGTTACAGGCTACCATTATTCTTTTAACCTGTCACAAAAGGAAAGAAAAACCTAGATGGATGACAGAAGGAACACTCACAGTTGCTAAGGATAGGTAAAAAGCAAAAGCAAAAGTGACAGAAATGGGGTCAAAATCCTGACCACAACTTTTCAGTGACTATCATACAGAGACAAAAAGAACTATTACAATGGCCAGTGCAAAGAAATAGAAGAGAACAGCATGAGATAAGAGAGCTCTTCCAGAAGATCCCAAAAATCAAACAGAATTTGAAACCTAGATTATGAATGCTGTAAGACGAACAAAGGAGCATACTACTTGATCAGGGAAAAATAAAGAGAAGGTGGAAACAATATATAGAAGAGATGAAAGGATGACAGATTCCTTCAAAGAGGAATCCTATGAGAAAGACCCTGCAATATTAGAACCTGCAAAGTAAAAACTGCTCTGAAAACACTTGGAAGAAACAAAGCACCCACAGCTGATAGGATACCATTAGAACTATTTCAAGCTGCAGAGACTGAATTGGTCCAAATACTAAGAAGAATATGTCCACAAATATGCTACTGATGTTATGTATTTTTGCAGGATTAGCTGGTGAGAACATTTGCTGCCATTTTTTGTGTATTGCTTTTTATGTGGTTTCATTAAATGTTATTTTTTAACTCTTGTAAACATCGTCTGGATCTATAATGGATGGAGGAGTGGGACACAAATCTATTAAATAATACATAGCAAACCCAAATGTATCTATGATGGATTACTTCTTTATGTGTGGTACTCTTCTGATCAATGGCAAAATTATTGAAAGGCAGATGGAAATCACTCTACTATTACACTTACAAATAGACTTAGAGTGATGGGTCAACACAGCTGGTTCCTTCAGACAGCATTTCTTTATTGCTTTCTAGAGCCTACATGCTTCATATATTTGGCAGTATTTTGGCAGTTTACACTACCTATATCAATCCATATATATGTGTGGGCATACTACAGAAACTCTGTAGCCTTTAAAAAATAGAAAAGATACTGTTTCCTAAATCTTTGTAATCTGTGTGCAATCCCATTGTCTTGGTGATTAGGAAATCTATTTGGCCTTTTTAGTGTTGAACTCAGCTTTACTAGGAAGACAGAAAGAGTCTTGGTCATTGCATTATTCTGCTGATTGAAAAAAGGATTCTGCAAATGAATATAATTATGATACAGTATATCTTCACATCTGTGTTCACCTAGATTTTATTTTGTGTAGAATTTTCCATGGCAAATACACTTCAAAATCAAGGCACAGGAAAACTGGAAAATGTAAATGTAATAATAAACCAGAAATACAGTTTTATAGGTAAAAAAGAATCTAAATTCCTGAAAAAATGTCCTCCATAAACAGGCTAAGATTAAGAAATGTCATATTGCTTAAAGTCCCTGTAGGCAGACTTTTAAAAAACACATTACACTATGCAAAAGAACAATCCAGCTTTCTTTCTAAAAGAAAATAGCCCTAAGTATGAAAGTTATTTTCTAGCAGGCAACAGTTTTGGTACTTGTTAGCTACGGCTTTCCAGTAAGCTGTACTATTCAAGTCCCACTAAATTGAAGGGGAGGGTGCACTAGAACAAGTTCATGGAGAGCAACAATTTACTGGAGTGCATCCCATGCTTCTTTCTGTGTGTAGAACCTCAAACTTCATCATAAATACTCAGCACTGGAAGGACAATACCAACACATAAAATAAATTAAACACTGGCAACTCAGTTTAATTTAAAAGGGTCTCAGGATAAGAAGTTAATCTATAAAATGGATTAAGTGCTTAAATATATAGCATCTTAATTAAAAGTTGAAGTATACACATTCTTATACTGGGCTGTTATGTGAACTAGCCAAATGGAAAGTATAACCTGATCCTGGAAGTATGAGCCAGTTGAGAACAAATTACTGCAATAGTAAACCTCTAAACTTGATAGATAAAATTGTAGATAACATATTCTTAACATCTGACAGACATATTTCTTCTTATGTATCCTTTCAAAATAGTCATTTCAAACATTTTAAATGATGTCATATTAGGACAGATCGATTTAAATCAGGGATGTCCAAACTGTGGCCCAACACAAAATCGTAAGCTTTCTTTCTTGTGTTGCGTTGTCATGTAAAATAAACATATGTATGCTCTCGCTATTTGTATGCATGTGTGGCTTCAGTTTTATGGTGGTGTGCAGCTTCCATTTGTGAGCAACTATTTTCAAGAATGAAGCATGCTAAGAGTAAAATTGGAAGCAAAATATCTGATGAGCACCTTGAGAACTCACTGAGAATTACAACTACTTCCATCAAAAGATTAGTTTCTCAAATAAAACTAGTGGGATATTTGACATTTTATGTTGCCCTCTTTTCTTTTACTTTTATAATAAAAATATCAAAAAATCAATGAAGTTTTATTACTTAGATATGTTTATTTTCTATATTAGGAATTGTAAACTTGGGACCTGCTCGATGATTTTAAAACTCTCCAAATGGGGTGCCACATAATTATTATTATTATGTGAGGAATGTTTGCTTATCTGTGGGGGTGGATATCACAAATACTATGCACAGACTTTTTTTTTTTTTTTTGCTCATCAGCTTTTTTTAGTGTATGTGCGGCCCAAAACGATTCTTCTTCCAAAGTGACCCAGAGAAGCCAAAAGGCTGGGAATCCCTCATTTAAATTGTTTGCCACTGATAGTTCTTCACATATTTCTTAAACAATGGTGCTAATCTGCCTCTAAAACATGTTAATTCACAACTGAATATATTAGCTCAATTCACTCTTATGCTAAGAAGTCATGGTAATTTTGTTGTGGCAAAAATGTGACACACTATGGGTACAGGCAGTTATATTTCTGCTATGATGTTTTACCATTTTCTTTCCAATACACTTCATTGTTCCTGTCCACTTTCACTCTGACTGTTCTTTCCTGTACTGACCATGTTTGCATATTGCAACAAGCCGCAGCATTAGTTGTTGGGTTCTGGGTGGTTATAATGTGCAAACACAGCCTTGGTAAAAAAACCATGTTTTGTAAACCCCAAAAGAGAGCCCATGGTTATTGTTGGATAAACACTCTGACTAGCATAAACCATGCATTATCATGATCTGTGAACCTGAAACCATGGATTGTGCATGGGCTGTTTCACCAGGCAAAAGACTGAAAATATAACACATTTAAATGTGTGCATGTGTGCACACACAAACATACACACACAGTTGCAATCAATGTTTCTCCCTCTGAGCAATATTAGTCTCACCAGAATGTCTTTGCTTAATGATCTTTATTGTTGTACATAAGTATCTGAGCATACACAAAGTGGATTGTCGAACCCTATCTACCATTCATTTCCCAAAGTAATCCTTATCAGCCCTTCTGTGTCTCAACCCTGGAGGAGGCACACTGTGGAAAAGGGCACACCTCAACTCCTCCCATTGTGCCCCTAATTGGGCTTTTCTCCAGTGTTGGCAGCAAGCTACCTGGTCTACCTCCTCAGCTGGCACGGGATCTCCATTGGAGAAATTTCTCATGCCAATGTCTCCTTGCACAGGTTGTAACTCCTCAGTGTTTCCAGGGTCAGGTTGATCTGTCTCTCTGTCTGCCTTTGGGCTAATCTCTCCCCATGCCACTTTTTGTTTGCTCCCATGACTGAACCACAGCTTGAGGTGGCATCGTTTCAAAAACAGTCACATTCTCAAAATTGGAATCTGAATAATCAGTACAACCTGCACGGGGAGTCTCCCATGAATGTTCTTGAAGTTTGACAGGATGTGTGAGCACAACACACAGAGAGAGGTTGCTGTAGTCTTGTTCACCTTTTTCCCAAAATAAATCTAATGCTGCAATCTGCCTGGCAATACCAACTACTCTCCACAGCTACCACTCTTCCTCTGATGTTCAGAGCTGCTGCTTACAACACTGGGCTGTAGGGGACTAGTTTTCAGGTAAGATGCCTCAATGCCAGGTACCGAAGAGTGCCTCTGTGACCTGTTGCTGAAATGAAGTGCCTATTCACACCCCCCAGATGCAGTTAATTGGTATAACTGATTGTTGATGGGCAGCAATGATGAGAAAGCAAGCTGTAGTATCCTGTGGAGCCACACCTATCTTTTCCCCTCTCAACTTCCCACTCCTTTTTGTGCTCCCCCAGTTGTAGTTTTAGCACATTTATGACTGAATTCAATTGTAACTGTTATTTTTACAGTGAGAGGAAAATTCAGTAGTTTATTGATGGTTTTTAATTTAGAATTTGTTAATAAGATTGCTTTTACTTATACTTATTTTAAAAAGCACTGATTTATATTTTCTCTGTACCAAATGTGGTTTGAAGTATATGTTCCAATTCAGTCTATATACTTTAAAAATACTAAATCAAATCCACAAGTTAGCAAAATATAAAAGCCATTCATAAAACAACTGATTCAGTGAAGAGTAATTATTCAAAACATATATCCTGAAAAAGGTTTAGTATTTGATGTTTTTTGTATGCATATGCTCTTATTCACAGTTTTATTTTGAGAAACATTTACTAAAACCCAGTTCCTATGTGACTTAAGGACTCAGATTCTTATTTTACTGGGTGAGAAACAGATATTGCTGATTTACTTGTCCTAGTTCATTCTGAAACTTTTGAATATAGGCAAATTAAAATCTACACAGACTGACTTACCCCATTTAGAGGATAGGTTTTCCATCCTAGCTCTCCAATTGCAGTGGTTGTATCAAGCAATATAACTAGAAATACAAAAAAAGTTAATTTAGGATATTTCTATTAAATTGGTTGAAAGCCTAGTCTACTCCTAAGTGACAAAACTCTCTTAGCTGCACACTTTGTGTACATATAAAAGCAGGCTTTTTATATACATATTTCTATGATACAAACTCTCTTCAAGCAAATATAAACTTTCTATAAACAACACTTAGAAATGTTTCAGCAGTTTTGCGTTGCTAGAATTAAAACACAGCATGTAAAACAGACAAATGATATTTCTTTATTAAAGTTGAAGAAACATAAGGAAGAGGGATACTAGTGTGAGAAACAGATATTTCACAGACTTTTTCCATGGGAAACTGAAGAGCAAACAGCAACAGCTTACACGCCACTAAAGGGAATCTTGGCAAGGACTCCATGTATCAAAACTTTTAATCAAAGTTTCTACAAAAGGCATTCACACAGCAGAATGGGAAAGCCACTTTTTCAGTGAGAACTGCTCAGTTCAGTGACTTGCTGAGGTACAAATATTTAAAACTCTTGAAGTCATGCAATACTTATTTCTCAGCTAAGCTCTGACTACATAAAACTGTAATTTGGAAATAAATGAGTAGTAGATAGGCTGAAAAATATATTTTTATGCAAGAAGATACTTTCCTACTCAATATGGATTTGTTTTTTTAATCTTCATTTTTACTATCATACAATGTACTAATTATATGCATCTCTTCTCTTGCTATCCAATGCAATGACTATTGTATTCTTTACCATGATTCAGTATGACTCTAATTCAGTATGCTTATTTTGTAAGCCCCGTAAGAAGGCCTTGGCTGTTATAGGCAGCCTATAAATACATGTGTAAATAAATAATATAATATAATATAATATAATATATTATGCACATTTTTTGAAAATAAAAAGTATATGGTATTTATTACACCATCACTCTGCTGCATTCACAGAACTTTAGAACCATGGATTCATAGCATATTACAGTTGGAAGCAAGAAGGCCATCGGGTCTAACCTCCTGCTCAGTGCAGGACTCCCAGTTCATCCCGCTCAGTTGGCTGACTTATTGTAGTAAACAGACAGGGAGTTCTTCCTGATGTTCAGCTGGAATCTAGCCTCCTATAACTCTCACCCAGTATTCTTTGGCCTGCACTCTAGGATGAGAAGAAAGCTTCCTCTTTGTGACAGCCTTTGAAGTACTTGAAGAGTGCTATCATATCTCCCTTCAGCCATCTCTTCTAAAGGCTAAACATGTCCAGTTCTTTCAATCTCTCCTCATAGGGCTTTGTTTCCAGTCCCCAGATCATCCTTGGTTCCCTCTTCTGAAACCTGTTCAGGTTGTCTACATCCTTCTACATCCCCTTCATGGATCACTGCCTTGTCATGGTGAAGGGACTTGTGTTGCTCAATGAAGCTATGAGCTATGCCATGCAGGATCACCCAAGATGGACAGGTCATAGCAGAGAACTCTGAGAAAACGTGATCCACTGGAGAAGGAAATGGCAATGATTTAAGGAATTAGATCTGATAAACAGAGTGCCTGAAGAACTATGGACAGAAGTTCGTGACATTGTACAAGAGGTAGCAACTAAAACCATCCCAAACACAAAGAAATGCAAGAAAGCACAATAGCTGTCTGAGGAAGCTTTACAAATAGCGGAGGAAAGAAGGGAAGCAAAAGGCAAGAGAGAAAAGGAAAGATACACCCAATTGAATGCAGAATTCCAGAGAATAGCTGGAAGAGATAAGAATGCCTTCTTAAATGAACAGTGTAAAGAAATAGAAGAAAACAATAGAATAGGGAGGACCAGAGATCTCTTCAAGACAATTGGAGATATGAAGGGAACGTTTCATGCAAAGATGGGCAGGATAACGGACCAACATGGCAGGGACCTAACAGAGGCAGAAGAGATTAAGAAGAGGTGGCAAGATTACACAGAGAAACTATACAAGAAAGAGCTCAATGTCCCTGATAACCATGATGGGGTGGTCACTGACCTCGAGCCAGACATCCTGGAATGTGAAGTCAAATGGGCCTTAGGAAGTCTGAGCAACAACAAAGCTAGTGGAGGTGACAGTATTCCAGCTGAGCTATTCTAAATCCTAAAAGATGATGCAGTAAAAGTGCTACACTTAATATGCCAGCAAATTTGGAAAACTCAACAGTGGCCACGGGATTGGAAAAGGTCAGTTTACATTCCCATCCCAAAGAAGGGCAATGCCAAGGAATGTTCAAACTACCGCACCATTGCCCTCATTTCACATGCTAGCAAAGTTATGCTCAAAATCCTACAAGCTTGGCTCCAGCAGTATGTGGACCAAGAATGATCAGAAGTACAGGCAGGATTTCGAAGAGGGAGATGAACTAGAGATCAAAGTGCCAACATATGCTGAATCATGAAGAAAGCTAGGGAGTTCCAGAAAAACATCTTCTTCTGCTTCATTGACTATGCTAAAGCCTTTGATTGTGTGGATCACAACAAACTGTGGCAAGTTCTTAAAGAGATGGGAGTACCTGACCATCTTATTCGTTTCTTGAGAAACCTATATACTGGTCAAAAAGTAACAGTGAGAACTGGACACGGAACCACTGATTGGTTCAAAATTGAGAAAGGAGTTCGGCAAGGCTGTATACTGTCACCCTGCCCATTTAACTTATATGCAGAGCACATCATGAGAAATTCAGGGCTAGATAAATCATCAGTTGGAATTATGGTTGCTGGGAGAAATATCAACAACCTCAGACATGCAGGTGATACCACTCAAATGGCAGAAAGTGAAGAGGTACTAAGGAGCCTCTTGACGTGGGTAAAGGAGGAGAGTGCAAAAAGTTGGCTTGAAACTCAACGTTAAAGAAAACTAAGATCATAGCATCCAGTCCTCTTACTTCCTGGCAAATCGATGGGAAAGAAATGGAGGTAGTGACAGATTTCATTTTCCTGGGCTTCAAGATCACCGCAGATGAGGACTGCAGCCAAGAAATTAAAAGATGCTTGCTCCTGGGAGATTTGCTATAGCAAATCTGGACAGCATACTAAAAAGCAGAGACATCACCCTGCCAACAAAAGTGCGTTTAGTCAAGGCTATGGTTTTCCCAGTTGCAATGTATGGCTGTGAAAGCTGGACCATAAGGAAGGCTGAGCGCCGAAGGACTGAGGTCTTTGAATTGTGGTGCTGGAGGAGACTCCTGTGAGTCCCCTGGACCGCAAGCAATCAAACTGGTCAGTCCTAGAGGAGATCAACCCTGACTGCTCTTTAGAAGGCCAGATAGTGAAGATGAAACTCAAATACTTTTGCCACCTAATGAGAAGGAAGGACTCCCTGGAGAAGAGCCTAATGCTGGGAACAATAGATGGCAAAAGAAGAAGGGGATGGCAGAGAATGAGGTGGCTAGATGGAGTCACTGAAGCAGTTGGTGTGAGCTTAAGTGGACTCTGGGGGATGATGGAGGACAGGAAGGCTTGGAGGAATGTTGTCCATGGGGTCGCGATGGGTTGGACATGACTTTGCAACTAACAAGAACAAAACATCCTTCTTAAGCTGTGGTGTTTAGAACTGGGCATAATACAACTGATGAGGTCTAATCAGTGCTGACAAGAGAAGTTATTTCACATGATGTGGAAGTGATATGTCTGTTTCATGCAGTCTGAAATAGCATTAGCCTTTTTTGTAGCTACATCACATTGGCTTACCTTGTGATCTACAACAATTCCAGGATCCTTCACAGTTGTAGCATTACTGAGCCAAATATCACCCATCTTATAAACATACATTTGGTCTCTTTTTTCCTAGGGGCAGAACTTAGTATTGTCCCTATCAAATTTCATTCTTCAACCTATCCAGATCACTTTGAATTTGATTTCTGTCTCCCAAGGTATTAGCTATCCCACTCAATTTTTTGTCATCTGCAGATCCAATAAACATTCCCTGCACATCCCCTTCCAAATATTTGTATATCTTTTATACACAAATATAATGTGTATAAAATAGCCTTTTGCATGGGTCATAACTTTATAATGAGAAGGTGCTAAGGTAGGAAAAACATGTGATTCAGTAGATGTGCACATGGATTTTATTCTCTGGTGTTAATTTATTCTTCAGCAATTCATTAAAATGGAAAGTTAAATCTTTATAAAGTAAGCTGCATAAGTGAATAAAATTATCACCTCATCCCCATGTTGAATTAGGGAATTAAAATGAGGAAAATATGGAGTTCCTAACAATGCAGCTTTTTTAAAAAAATCATTTTTCACTAAATAGCGTTTTGATAGTCATTTTTATACATTCCTAGGGTCCAAAACAACTCTAAGCCTTAAAAAATGTTCCTACTATTCAGAAATCTTTGACAATATTTGCATAAAAAGCTTTCTAGGATAATAGGTATAATAGATGCCTACTCAAAGTTAGTATTTTTAAGTATAATTTTTACCGCTGTGAAAATTGTTATGCCTGAAGAAAACTGTATATTCTGAATATATTGAGTAGTCCCAAATAGCTGCCTGTTTTCCAAAGAGTCTAATCCATAAGCATAACAAAAGGCATAAAGGAGATTTTAAAATTTACATTAGCACTGAGTGAGGAAGATTTGGCCTCGTTTAGGTCTGAAACCACAGATATAAGCTTTATATATATATATATATATATATATATATATATATATATATATTATTAAAGAAAGGAAATAGGAAGGAAAGGAGAAAAAAAAAACAATATTGCATTGTAACTGATTAAAAGTCAACTCCTATTCTTCTACCATCTGTAACTACTGGTTTTTTTAGGTGCACACAAACTGACCTACCATCAAGACCAACACCATATATTTCAGTTGAGAGGGAGGGGGGAATCATGAGCTCTACATGTACAAAAATGAATTTAATGAGTTCTGTATAAAGGGTACCTGTCAGCGCCATCAGTTGTGGGGACAGGATTTAAGCTTGAAGGTGCCTTGACATGACCTTGCAAAAGTGAACTGAAGAAACAATTTATACTGGGAGCATAGTTTGATTTTATTGT